ACTTCCCGTATCCAGATGCTTCCTGACACAGGTGCGGACGTCACAGTCATCGGCACAAGACACCTCGACATTCTGGGGATTCCTAGGAGCAGCTTGCAACCACCGTCAACTTCTACAACGCTCACCGCAGACGGTTCTACAATGGCACCTGCTCTGGGTACATTTCAGGCTACCCTCACCCTAGGTAAGCAGTCATGTTCTGCCAGGATTCAGGTCCACAAAGGTGTTCAGATGCCACTACTGTCTTATGGCCACTGTCAAGAGTTGGCCATAATATCTCCAGACTTCCCTAAGCCAATTCTGGAAGTAAAACATGTCAACAGGTGCAAGGAGCTGCCCCTCCCACCCAATACGTCACCTTCTGCAGCCAGGGAGTTCTTCCTACTGCAATTCAAGGACGTGCTGGTTTCCAAGGAGGACCTCAAGACAGCTCCACTCAAGCCAATGGCTGGCTCCCCCATGAGAATACACCTGAAGGATGACGCAGTACCTTTCGCCATCCACACACCGCGACAGATACCCTTCGCTTTCCAGAGCCAAGTTAAGAAGGAACTCGACTCTATGGTAGCCCAGGGGATCATTAAGCCTGCTGGTGACGACCCCTCGGATTGGTGTCACCCCATGGTAGCAGTCGCCAAGAACATTACTGGAGTTCGTATCACCGTCGACCTCACCAAGCTGAATAGCCAAGTTTCCCGCCCGACCCACCCTTCACCGACACCCTTCGCCGCTATACGCAGTGTGGACCCGAAGGCAAGGTATTTTACTACAGCAGATGCCTTATGTGGGTACTGGCAGATGGAACTTGCGGAAGAAGATCAGCACCTCACGACGTTCATCACACCGTACGGCCGATTTCAGCACTGCAGAGGACCTATGGGTTTCGCGGCTACTGGCGATGCTTTCTGCCTCCGTGGTGACATGGCCCTTCAGGGTGTGGCGAACTGTGTCAAGGTCATCGACGACGTGCTCCTATATGACGAGGATTACTCCACGCATCTTGAGCGTATTCACCAGATGCTCAACAGGTGCCGCAAGTACGGGATCACCCTCAACAAGGATAAGTTTGTGGTCGCCGCACCTAGTGTGAACTTCTGTGGGTACACCCTCTCAGGCAAGGGCATCTCGGCTGATCCTGGAAAGGTCAGCGCGATCCGGGACTTCCCAACTCCTGCCAACCTGATCGACCTCCGCTCGTTCATGGGCCTGGTTAACCAGTTGGCTGAGTTCACCCCCGACATCGCCGCTGCAGCACAGCCCCTACGCCCCCTGATGAGCCCCAAGAGAACATTCACCTGGACAGCTGACCATGATGAGGCATTCCGTCGCGTCAAGACAGCTCTCCTTAGCCCACCTGTTCTTGCTTCCTTCGACCCGGCCCTGCCAGTTGTCCTCCAGACCGATGCCTCTCGCCTCTACGGGATTGGATACGCTCTGCTACAGGACCACGGCAATGGACGCCTTTGTCTGGTTCAGTGTGGCTCTCGGTTTCTCACTGACGCCGAGACTCGCTACGCCACCATCGAACTGGAGCTGTTAGCCGCCGTCTGGGCCATGTCCAAATGTAGGTTGTATCTGATCGGCCTACAACACTTCAACCTCATGACGGATCATCGGCCACTCATCCCGATCCTGAACCACTACTCCTTGGACGCGGTCGAGAATCCCCGCCTCCAACGCCTTAAGGAGAAGATCTCGCCCTACCTCTTCACAGCTGTGTGGCGTGCTGGCAAGCTGCTCTGCATCCCGGATGCTTTGTCACGAGCCCCAGTCAGCCACCCCACACCAGAGGACGAGATCGCATGTGCTGATGCTACTGCACACCTCAGGACTGTAGTGACCGTGAACGCCGTCATCTCAGAAGAGTCTCCACCGCAGGACGCCAACAGGACTCTTCAGGAACTCCGAGCCGCGGCAAGAGCGGACCCTTCGTACATCCGTCTACTGAACTGCGTGACCTCGGGATTTCCCTCCAACCGGTACGACTTACACAGCTCTTTACTCCCAAACTGGAAGATGCGGGACGACCTCTATGCTGATGGCGACCTCGTCTTGTATGGAGCAAGAGTTGTGGTTCCTGCCGCCCTCCGCCGCCGCACCCTAGCCCACCTGCACGACAGCCACAGGGGCGTGGAAGCTACGAAGCGCCGGGCGAGACAAGCTGTTTTTTGGCCAGGCATCGACTCCGACATCGCTAGTTCCGTTCAAGTCTGCGAGCCATGCCAGGTGCTGCAGCCTAGTCAGCAGCAGGAACCCCTCATGAACAACGACAACCCTACGAGGGCCTTTGAGTCCGTCTCTGCGGATTTCTTCGTTGTGGCGGGAAAGTCCTTTCTCGTCATCGCCGATCGGCTCTCAGGTTGGCCTGTTGTCGTTCCCTGCGGAGGCAACACTACTGCCTCTCATACAGTACGTATGTTCTGTCGCTACTTCCGGGAAGTTGGTGTCCCTCTCCGCCTGAGGACTGACGGCGGGCCCCAGTTCACCAGCAACGACTTCCGGGACTGCATGGAGCGATGGGGAGTTTATCATGTGGTGTCCTCGCCACATTATCCCCAGTCCAATGGACATGCCGAGGCTGCCGTAAAGTCCGTCAAGCATCTTATCCTCAAGACGGCACCCTCAGGCAACATTGACTGTGAAAAGTTTGACCGGGGTTTATTGGAATTGAGGAATACCCCCAACTTCACAGGTCGCTCCCCAGCACAGATGTTATACGGCCACCCACTACGGTCATGTGTCCCTGCCCATCCTGAGTCCTTCTCGAGGGAGTGGCAGGCCAAGACCGAGGACTGCGATCGTCGTGCAGCCGCCCGTGCTGACCAAGTAAAGGCACAGTACGATCAGCACGCCCGACCCCTTCCCAGGTTGAGTATAGGGCAAACAGTTCGGATTCAAGACCCGACGTCTCACCGCTGGGACAAGGTCGGGGTTGTCATGGGCTGCGGCAAGACCAGGGATTACGAGGTCCGTCTCCCTAGTGGTCGGGTATGGTGGCGGAATCGCCGCTTTCTTCGTTCAGTACCGTCCCCCAGTGGTGAACCCCTCCCCCATATCCCTGTGAACCCTTGCTTGGACGAGAAAAGTAAGTCCTCATTCAGTGACCCCCCAGTTTTCCCACGTCACTCTCAAAGGCTCCTGGAAAAAGAGTCCGCTCGAGATTGCACTACGAGCGTGAGGGGGGAGGGAGGTGTAGATATATGAGACGAATATGGCTGTAATATGTAACTGTACTATTTACCATTATTGATTCAGGTCTCTGTATTATATGTTATAATCATACTCCCTTTTGTCACTTGAATGTTAGTTCAGACTTTGGGCACATGCGCGCTGTACGCGCATGCGCAGATAGAGATACCCAGAGAGATTCCAAGACAGGACGCTGTTTCCCCTGTCTTAACTCCTTTTGTGTGTTTGTCCCAGAAATAGAACTTACGAACTTGACATCAGTGTGTTTCCTTCACCCCTGATTATAAGGATCACCTGAGTCTCTCCCACAGTTATAATCATGGTCGTGGTTGTTGTAATCATGGTCGTGGTCGTGATACTTACAGTATCTAATATACTATAAGAAGGAATGGAATAAAGGTTAGAATATTTAGTTAAAGAAATATTCGCCATAAGGAGAGGTTAAAATCATAAAAAAAAATATGAATCACCGATGATCATTCCGAGATAAATTATATTATGAAGAGAAGTGACCTTGATTCTGGTTAGATTAGTCACCATCTGCTTAAGTCATCACCTGTGTTAAGTCATCATAGTCATCATGTGAACCAGTCAGTCAGCTGTCTGTCTGTCCTGTTAGTTGCCATATTGTCTATTTGTGCATGTATGAATCTGTCTATTTTTGTCAACCTCCTGTCTGTTTCACTGTCTATATTCACCCTGTTTCTATTGTAGTCATCTCCATGCATTACTGTTATTATCTTTTTATCTCTTCCCCTTTTCCACCCACAGGAATAAGTATACACTGTAGCTGTAAGGTGTCTGGTAACGTTGAAACTGTGCATCCAGACGCATGATAAAACTCAGCTCCCCCCCACCTGTTATATCTAACAATTTTCTGTTTCCCTTCTTTATTCTTCTATTTACTCATCTTCCTTCTTACTAATACAAACAACATTAAAAAAAGTAGGCTAAGAAAAAAAGTGGGGGGAGGAGGAGGGAGCCGTACGATAACTGCAATCGTGGGCTGGGTGAGCCAAGTCCGTTGACTTGCATCGTTTTCCAGTGTAAATAAAATGGTTATGTAATGGCTTCCTAAAGAAACCATCGATATGGGACCAGGTTTGTTCCACTGTACGAATTTTTTGCGATTTTTCCACCAAGTTTGATGAAACACGATTGTGCCGTTTCGGCTGCCCAGAGCACACACACACACACGCCTAGTCCTATAGTATATTAGATTATATCTAAACCCTAAAGTCTCTGAATATTGTTGAACAAAAATAGCTGCCACTGAGACTTTACCAAGAGGAAGCCAAGAGCTGAACACAACTTTACTTTAAATGTTTTGTTTAACATGTCTACATTCTTTACAGTAAGCTCCGAGAACTGTGAACATGTTGAACACCGTTAGTCATTATGTGGATGAAAAATACTTTTGTAAGGGGAAGAGGAGCCACTGTTTGTGGTAAAATTAATGCACACGATTTAAATATTCATGTGAATTTCAGAGCCCAAAACTGAAATCATGGTCATTTATCATTACTTACCTCCTTCACAGCCTTGTTTTTAATGTGTCATTTTGTACATAAACCAAATTATTTCAATGAAAATATTTCTTTATTTTTATTTTGTATGAAATTTCCTGTATTGTCTTAAGCATAAAAAACACCCCCCATTTACCCTGTTGCATACTGATGGTGAAGATGTGTCCTCCCAATCCATTTTTTCCGTTACAACATACCCTGCAGTCCAGCCATAAACTCACTGGTATTGGGAATCACCCTAAATAAAAAAAAAACTGACCTTACCAACAGCTAGCTACCTCTTACCTCCGATGAATCAGCTCCAATTTCGAAGGTTGCTTGGTCCCAGTCGATCACGTCTCCGTGGCCGCGGGTCCTGCAGCCGGAGATGTTGGCCAGTTCTTGGTCTTCAAGCTTGCGCGACCACACGTTCACGTCCGTTACAGCACCGCTGAGGACAACACTCTGGTTACTGCATCGGATCCTTTTCGGGAGCTGGGGAGCTACCCCAACCCCCTCATTTCACGGGAAAGGTCCATTTTTATCATCATACTTATAAATTATACTATGCAAAGGAGGCGAAGTAGTCAGTTCGCTCACCAATGGCGACCAGAAATTTTGACAGGCGAATTGAGATAATGGAGACCATTCCGAATGCAGCGCTAAAATTATAATTTAATCTTATAAATCAGCCATTTGCTAATTGGCACAAAAAATATGACAAAAATTGTCCAACATAAATCCAGAATAAAACACACTGAAGCACAATATGGATATAAGACAGTTATTTAGATGATCGAACAACCAATCCAGCTGTTCATGTACAGGATAACAAGCAGACCAGCTGTTCATGTATAGATTAACAACCAGTCCAACTCTTTGTTTTAACCCCAGTCTCATAGACAGTAGTACTTATATAAATACGGGTTAATACATTTGTGTTATATATTGATACCCCCCCCCCCCGTAATTTTCCATGAGCTGTGAGGTTCATGTTCAGATCTCGTGATGGGTATTTTCCTCTTTCAAGTAGCGTCTTAAGGATGATTAGGTCAGCCATTAGAAGCCAGCTTTCTGTAGCTCAGTTATCACTTCGCCCTCACGAGAAACAGATGTTGAAGCCCAAGCTTCCAGATAAACTTGCAGTCTATTCTTCTAACCCTCACAGCTTTCAGTGTTAATTATGGTATTATCCTTATTGAAGTGTACACTATTTATTTTTATAAATAAATGGAGAAAAGACCATTTGGGTTTTGACTACTTAACCCAACAAACTAGAGAGCTCGAAGGCTGTAATATGACAGCTCCAAAAGCTGTTATATAAGGTGGTAGCAAACAGAACGAATTTATAACTAAGACCAGTGTACTTAACTGTTCCATAGGAACCACCATCAGTGTATTACCAAATAACAGTGACTATCCTCAGTGCCAGTCTCTGTAGTACACCAGAACATATACTGTATATACCCTCGTGCGACGTTATATGTTGAGTGATACATTTAAATGTCATCTCAGATGTGACATGAAAAAAAAGTCTCAATAACATTTGATAAGTGAGTTATCAATAATTCACAGCTTTGTGGCAATACTCCTCTCAATGGCAGCGCCACACCCAACCACCCCACCTAGTGAAGGCGACATTCCCTGTCGTGTTGTGGCTACTCAGCGTTAGTAAACATCCTGTGAGCATTTTCTTCTGCAAATCCTTCGCTCACCACCTCCAGGATGTGACTCAGTGAATCTTCAGCCCTTGGCAACATACCCTCACTGGGACCCCCCCCAGTTCAGGTGTTGACAATTAGTACATTCCTTGCTTTCTTCCAGGGTGACGCAACACTTACACCAGCCATACTCCTGTGCTCAAAGAGTGGTTGTGAAATACCTGGTGGACACCACAAGTTGTTTTACCTGAGTGTTTTGGCTGTTAGTAAAATCAGTGTGTCGTAATTTCCTTGGGTAACCAGCAAGTTCCTTATATACAGGGCAACCTTTGCCTTGTATCACCACTAGATGTCAAGAAGTCTCTTCATCTTCACTGTGGGATGCACTCTGTGACCCAGTGACACTCAGTGAACCCGGATCAGGCAGCCAGTCGCATCTTCAGTGCTGAAGTCATCAAATTCAGTCATCTTGGCAACCAAGGCACCTACAGGATGTCAAAATTGGCCACCGTCCATTGCCTTCTTGGAACTTCACCAGGTTGTCTTAGCAACGGAAAAGCCATCATTGGACACCATCTTGTCTACTATTAACACGGAGTGTCATTGACCCTTCACCGTGAAACCTTCAAACCAGCCGAGTGCCCAGCGCCTGCTGAAGTCTAAGGGATTTGAGGCCAGATTTTCAAGAAATTCCTAGAATGCTTTGAATCATCAATCAAGTCTACAGTAATAGGTATGACACAGACAGACACTGTACTATAAACACAATAACATAGCCTACAGAGCACACCATCACACATCCGGCCACCATGATAGGTTACGTTTCATATTTAAGTCATAGGATCGTGGGTTCGAATCCTGGCGGGGTGAGGTGTTGATTGTGTGTGTGTGTATATATATATATATATATATATATATATATATATATATATATATACACACACGAGTACTACTTACTACTTTGTTGTTACTCGGAATCGAGTATGACGATCATCCAGCTATGATACAATGGTATGAGCTATTAAGGGTGTCTCCTACGTTGGTGAGTTCAGTACTCCTTTGGGCCATTTTGAATTTCTGCGGATGCCATTCGGTCTCAGAAACGCCCCACTGACTTTTCAAAGGATGATCAACACTTTGTTTGCTGGTTTAATAGGTACCACAGTATGTGCCTACCTAGATGATCTCATTGCCGTCAGTAAGGATGTAGATAACCATATTGCCAAACTTCATGAAGTTTTCCAAAAACTTTCTATGGCAATACTCAAAGTCAAACTTTCTAAGTGCGAATTTTTAAAATCCAGAATACAATTCCTTGGTCATGTAGTTGACGGAGACGAAATTCATACAGTTGATGCCAAAATCGCAGCTGTAGCAGTTACCTCATCCTACAAACGTTGATAAGGTACGTAGTTTTATAGGTTTGTATGGATATTATCGTTCTTTTACAAAGGCTATGCAACGGTAGCTTCACCCTTGACTAAGCTTCATAGGAAGGACGCAACTTTTATATGAAATGCTGAACAAGTGGATAGTTTTATTGCATTGAAGAACGCACTTACCAATGCACTAGTTTTAGCATTTCCTGACTACACTCAACCATTTACTCTGTGTACTGACGCCTCGAGACAAGGACTTGGCGCTGTACTAATACAGCGGGACACACGAGGAAAACATCGAGTGATTGCTTTTGCCAGTCGTAACTTAATGATGCCGAAACATGTTATTCAGTAACGCATCTAGAGGCATTAGCTGTTGTCTGGGCACTGAAGCAGTTAAGTCTTTACTTAATTTTTGGTTGCAAAATAACCGTCCACACGGATCACGTGGCAGTGACAGCGCTGTTCCACGGGGAAAATCTTTCAGGCAGATTAGCACGCTGGTATCTGACCATTCAAGAGCTCGAACCCGTCTTCGAGTACTTACCGGGACGTGCAAATATGGTTGCAGACGCTTTGTCCAGAAACATAGCACCAGTGATGCCCATTTCATCGTTCTCACACTCGTCTTTAAAAGAGGAACAACGAGTGGATCCATTGTGGTCTGCTGTTATTTTCGCTCTAGAGTCGGGGAAGGAGGTTAATCTTCCAAAGATACCACTTCCGTTCAGTCAATTTGAACTACGACAAGACATACTCCATCGCTTCAAATAGACAACTGAGGGTATTTTTACGCAAATTGTCGTACATGATACACTTCGTGCAACGATTCTAACGTTGTATCACGATGCTCCACAAGCAGGTCACCCTGGACGTGACAAATGTCTGGCGGAGGTCAGAAAGAAATATTTCTGGACTACAATGAAAAAAGACATAGAACAGCACATTGCTAAGTGTCTGGCGTGTACTCAGCATAAGGGTACTACAATGTCACCGGCTCCAATTATACCATATCCTACACCAGAACGTCCGTTTGACACAGTCGCCATCGACTTGTTACAACTTCCGAGGAGTCATCAAGGATCCTCGTACGTCCTAGTGTGTGAGGATAATTTTTCTAGATTTGTGATTTTAGTCCTACCAGCTGATAAAAGAAATGCATTTAAAACCGTTCCTATTGTATTCTAATGACAAACTGTTTACTATGGATAAACCAAACCGAAATTTTGCTAATTGATGAAGACTACTCTTTGTTAGCAGTGGATAATCCTAGAGTTTTATCTCGGTGTAAGTCGTCATATTTACATTTACACGTATGCCCAGCCTATACGTTTGCGTTTATTCCTGCTGCAGAAGGAATTTGTGAATTGGCGATCATACAAACCAACGTTCGCACAGCGCTAAGACAATGTAGCTACAGTATGCACCGATTTCCAAGAAAACTGTGCTTCATGCACATCTACATAATGTGCAGTATTTTTTCTTCCCTGAAGAAACTAGCGTCATTTTACGGTGCCAGGATGGTGGTCAACAGTTAATTGTGAAAGGTTATTATAAGGCTGCGAAATAACCTGTAGTTCGTCGACGACCTTGCCTTCCTATCATCATTTTTCATTGAATTTAAATCTTACTTCAGATTTAATTTCTTTGTATCAAGTTCCTAATTTGACTCTTAATGAACTCAATAATGTGTCAGATAAATTAAAAGTTATTTCTTATATGAAAGAGTCACAATTTATTAATCTAGAAGATCACCTGCCATTTTATTTTTCAGGGGGGATTTGCTGTACCCAGTTTAACTATTCCCACTATTGTGTTAATATTGGCAGTGATATTTTTGGTTTGTTATTATAAGTCAGTATCTTCTAAGTTTGCCATTGTACATAATAAACTCTCCCGTAAGGCGCTTCAGACTAGGGTTCCAGTAACTGCTGAACCTCAGGCTGCAGTTTCTGCAGTTTAGTGTCTACACACACATATGTTTGTAACATGGGTAGGTATATGTATGGGGTTTTTCTGCGAAACTAGTTTATTCCTTGTAGAAGCTTGGAAGGTGGTAACCGAGTCTCGTAAGAGCCCCTGTCTCATAGACAGTAGTACTTATATAAATAAGGGTTAATACATTTGTATTATATAATGATATCACTCCTCGTAATTTTCCATGAGCTGTGTGGTTCATGTTCAGATCATGTCTTAAAGATGAATAGGTCGGCCATTATAAGCAGGCTTTCTGCAGCTCAGTTATCATTTGACCCTTCTCGAGAAACAGAGGTTCAATCCCAAGCTTCCAGATATGCTTTCCGTCTATTCTTTTAACCCTCACAGCTTTCTGTGTACAATATTTATTTTTATAAATAAATGGAAAAAGGACCAATTGGGTTTTAACAACTTAACCCAACAAATTAGACAGC